CTTCTTAAACCACTCGAAAACTTGCGTGCGAGATAGACACTGATCACCATATACTTCTGTCAACAAATTGTAAGTTTCAGTGGCAGATTTTCCAAGTTTTGTGAGGAATTTGATGTTAGCACGTTGTTCTGCATTAGCACTCAGCATTATTCCGACGGAGCTCAGAAACACGATCCGCTTCTAACAATGGTCGCGGCCAGACTAACCGATGCACGTGAATGAAACTTTGTGTGACGGTAGAGGGAAGTCCAAGGGTCAATGCCCTACCCTCCTCTTCGTCAATGACGTGGCCGGAAATGAGTCATAAAAGTAATCCGGTTTCTTTATTGCCACACCTTGTATATCCACATTAATGCCTTTTAATGCTCTGATAAAGACTCCCTTTGAACCATGAATATTCTGGATTGTTAAACATGCTGGGAAATAGTTGAGTCTTCTTTGATCATTACTAGGTGAGTAACCAGTGTGGCATGGCAAAACCACTGTAATAGTGCAGATTCCAAAGCTTCAGTCTCTGCATTCTATATTTTCTGTGTCACTGATTTCCATCCCACAGAGCGGCTGATCAATTTGTTCTTCAAAAGTCATATGATGATCTGTGAAGAGATTTTGTGACAGTACAATGAGACCTGCTGGAAAAAATGTTAGTATTTCAGTTGCCAACAAGCCACTAGTGGTACTAGGAGCATGCGTTTACTTGGAGAGATGCTTATGTTACCAGTAAATTTCTGGATGGTGAAGTATTATACACCATGGTATATTACTAGTAATATGTAAGAGAAGACAAAATAATCAATTATTGGTCACCTAGGTATGTTTATTTACCTTGCTTCTCTACAGGTTGAAGTTGAGAAGGCACTAACACTCACCAGAGTAAAGGGAATTGGTTACAAAGTCGCTGATGTTTCACTAGGCCCTACTCACACAGCCGTCCTGACTAAGAGTGGTCATGTTGTTACATTTGGGCGTAATGCAGAGGGTCAACTGGGAAGAGGGCACCTGAGATCAACATCACCTGGGCCTTTGATAGTGAAATCCATGGCAGATAAAGTCGCTACTGTAAGTAGCACTTTCTAGTGTAGAGCAGTTGAGTGAGTAAGTTAGATGGAAAAGGGAACATGCTAATGGCTGAAAGCACAGAAGTTCCCATTTTAAGAGTCAGTTAAATTTGAATGCTGTGTTGCCTGGTAGAAGCTTCTTGCTGAATACTTGCCTGGCTTACTCTTTGGCCCTGAAGATGGAGGCAGTATGTTCCTCTGAAATGTTGGTGAAGTTTACTGTACTACATGGCATTAAATCTCAGAAGACAGGCTCTTCACAGTCACTCTTGTGAGAACCTCAAACCTCAGCCAGATTCAGTTATATCTGATATATACTGAAACCCAAATTAAGGTTTGTTGGGAGGCAAGCTTTTTATATCTTAAATGCAGGTTTTGGAGAACAGAGCTTAAAATGACTGTTGAACTTGGTCAAATCAATAATAAGGCATTGTAATACAGTATGTTCTTTTGTTTTAGAATGTGATCCATGCCAACTTTTCTCTTCAACATTAGAAGCTTTCCATAAGAATGTGCTACTTAATGGCCATGTTGGCAGTATAAAACACTTCACAATTTCATTTTGAAACCTAGTTGGATTGCTTTCTAGCTCTTGAATAATTTTCTCTTTCTCATTTATTGCTAACTTCTGTTCAATGTCATGGCCATGTATTACTTCAAAATTTGAGTAACTTCCTAAGAAAAACTGTGGCACTTGAGCACAATAAAAAAATAACAAACTGTAAAAACTTCCAACCATGTATCACTTCCAACTGACACAGAGGACACAGAAAGAATGGGCACAGACAATCATGCTGCCTACTACAGATTAGAAAAATGCCTACCTTAATAATTCTGCATGCTGCACTGCATGCCATGCAAATGATGATCTTGAACTATGCAGAGGTTGTGGCATGCAAAAAAAAAAGTTATCTTCAACACTGAAACAAGATTCAGAATGTGTAGGAGTCAAAGTTCCATATGTAAAATGTGGATAAACCCTTAATATGGAGAAATATTAGATCAAAGAAATGATACATAGACATATGGAGCTTTGGCTGGGACCACAAAAATGTACCTTAAGTGTGGGTTCCTAAAGTATTGTATTACCCATTTCAGGGACTTCTGTGACATTATGGATACTTACAGAACTAGGCACTTCCAACAAACAGTTGTATAAGTTGTCTCTTGTTTATATGGATTTGAAAGATTATGACATAATATTATGTTAGTTTTATAATTACAGACCTTTACAGTAATGCTTATCATTAATGTTCAGTGAATACATTTGAAAAATAAATATCCCCTTTCAGCATACATAATGAATTTTCAGTGGAGCATAAGCATTCTAAGTTACTCCTCAGGATTCAGTTTCTCCTAATGAGAAGTTCGTTGAAGTTGAATAGTTCTGCTTATGTTAGGTGGGTCTCTTGTCACCACAGCATGGCGCGTCCTCAGGTTGCGAAAAGAGGAGATGCCCTCAAGGTATGAAGGGAAGCTGCGAATATATTGAATAAGCAGTCGAGGGCAGTCAACAAGGTGTGGTTGTCCAGCTTTGGGGGTTGGGGATTGGGCTAACAACACCTTACTGTAAAAAATAAACTTGTTACAAAAATTCTCAAGAAGCCTTGGACCTGGATGGATTCCTTGGATAAACAACCTAAGCTAAAGAAAATTGATATGAGATTTGGTACATGGAATGTTCAAAGTATGTATAGGGCAGGTTCGCTCAGGGCAGTGGCGGAATAAATCTTAAAATATAAGTTAGATTTAGAGGAGGTATAGGTGGTCAGATGGGGTGGAGGTGGCATCGCACCAGCAGGCGAATATACATTTTTCTATGGAAAGGGGAATGAAAATCATGAATAGGTACAGGTTTCTTCATACATAAGAGAATCATATCAGCAGTTGGAGAGGGTAGAGTTCATTAATGATAGGATATCATATATAATATAAAAAGGTCGTTGGTGTGATATCATCGTTATGAATGTTCACGCCCCAATAGAAGATAAAACTGATGACATAAAGGACAGGTTCTATGAAGAACTAAATTCCAGAGGTACCCTATGAAAATTTTGCTAGGAGATTTCAATGCCAAAGTAGGGAGAGAAGATATTTTCAAACCAACGATTGGGAATGAGAGTTTGCATGAAATTAGTAATGATAATGGAGTTAGAGTAGTAAACTTTGCCATATCAAAAAGTCTTACTGTCAAAAGTACAATGTTCCCACATTGTAACATCCATAAATTTACTTGGACATCTCCTGATGGGAAGCTACACAATCTAACTGACCATATTTTGATAGATAGGAGATGGCACTCAAGTATATTTGATGTCCGATCATTCAGGGCAGCAGACTGTGATACTGACCACTACCTGGTGGTCGCAAAGATTAGGGAAAGACTGGTAGTGAGCAAACAAACAATGCACAGAGTTCATATGGAGGGGTTCAATCTCAAGAAATTAAATGAGGTAGAGTGTAAAGAGCAGTATCGTGTTGAAATCTCAAATAGGTTCGCGACCTTGGAAAATTTGGACACTGAGCTGGATGTTAATAAAGCTTGGGAAGTGAAGGATGAGAAGGGTGATCTGCTTGCAGATTCCCACAACATTTTGATTAGGTGGAAGAACTACTTTTCTCATTTATTGAATGTGATGTTAGGCAGAAAGAAATGCGCACAGCTGAGCCGTTAATACCTAATCCCAGCCCTTTTGAGGTTGAAATTGCTATTGCAAAATTGAAAAGGTATAACTGACAGTAAGAAGTATGGCTCTTGTAAAACAAAAGAATAACTGGGCAGACATCTCACAATGTTTCTAAATCTTTCTGATTAGTTTTATACAGTTAGCAACAAATTGTACATATTGTGCCATCTTTTGACAAACATTTGGAAGTATTTTTCCATTTATTCTAGTTTATATGAGTTGGTAAGTTAAAATGTAACTCACCATTCAGTGGGGTGAATTAATGGAAATGAATTTTTTATCAATTTTATAAAGTGGAGATTTATTATATTTTATAACAGAGTTTATTAAATATATCAATCAAACAACAGCTTTATTGGAATGGTCACCAAGTTGTTTTTTGACTGGCACATTTAGCAAATGCTGTTACCTGTTTAACACAACAGAAAGGACCAGTCAGGAAAAGAAACTGTATATCAGTTTCCTTTCAAGTCTGTCATCTACAAAAACAGGCTGGAGAAGACCTTGGAAGTTAGAATACTGTATCAAGTGTAGTTTGAATCAGATAACCTCCAAACAGCGCTCAGTTCATTTTAAGGCAGTGTCCTGGAATTTTTATGGACTGTGTCTTCAGTATGATTGCAGACTGGAACAAGTGTTAGGATACTAGATTTGTAGTTGCAAAAACTGGAGTGTCATTTTGTGTCTAGATTTTATTTGGAAATGAGGCTTGTGGTCAGAAGAGTTGATGAACATAAAATTAAAAGCAGTGGGGTTGGTCATTGCAGGCACTCTGTATACATATGAGAGAAAATGTAAATATAATGTGATTTGTTGTGTTGTAACAGATGGTGCAGTGTGGCCTGACATACACTGTAGTTGGGTCTATTCAGAATGCTGTGTACTTCTGGGGCACTCGTTATGGCTCTTTTGGTTGTCAGGTATGTTCAGCGATACTGTGAAGTAAACCATATACATCTGTCAGCTGAGAACTTTCTCATACTAATCTGAGCATTTTATAGTGTGTAATATTGGCTTTGTAACATCTCACGTTCTCCATATCTTGTTTTTCACAAGATTACTCTTGGATTCCTTGTGATTTTTGATTAGTAGTAGAAAATGAATTAAACAGATAAAGAATAATTCATGCTATACTGTAATGGATCCTGGTCAGTTCAATTCTTGTTCATATTGTTTGCCTGGATTTTAATGTAAGTCTGTTCTAAATATCCTGAATTTTGTAATATGTGCTCAAGAAAATTAACCTTCAAAATAGCCTTTGACATCATCATCCTCCTTCCCTCTGGTTTATTATTGATAATAATCTTCATTCGTATATGACACTAGACAGCCCTCATATTTGGTGCATTATTAAACCAAGTGGTTCTGTCATATAAGCTAGAAGGTTGAGGGTTTGATTCCCGATGAGGTCACTGGATTTTTCAATTGACCTAATCCTTTCAGCTGTATTCTGGTCATGGGATCGACTCAGCCTCTAAGAGAAATGAGTACCAGGAACCTTCCTGGGGGTAAAGGGTGGCTGGTGTGTATGAATGACAACCTCACTGCCATCTGTGAGCCACTTGTCTAGTAAATGTGGGAGTCTCAATGTCTCACAACCCTGAGGGCCTCCACAGCCTGTGACAGGGACATCTTTACCTTCTACCTTTACCCTGTCTCAGTTAGATAAGCCATCATGTTCCTATCATTCTATTGTAACAGTGCAATGTGTCTTGGCCAGTGGTTTAATACAGCATTGTTTATTAATTTCCATAAAACTGAATACATTACATATATTCTTTAGTTGTGAAATTGTGCTATCTGATTTATGATGAGGAAATAGAAGGTGCCACATAATTGCTTGTCCTTTATTTTGACATGATGGTTATCATTGTTTACACTGCAGTCTCTTCAGTCAATCACACTTGGCATACACATGGCACCTGTATGTACAGCCACTTGTCAGGTACTTCTTACTGTTCTACAATGCAGTTGAAGGTCCATCATACGAGTATGTCACATTCATGAGTCACTGTGCAACACAGTTGGTAATGATCACCATAGCAAGTCTGATGATGTGCTGTTGGTGAACAGTATATGGCTCTCTGTCAGTTTAACTGACATCATTTTATATAATTCTTATAGCTTGTATGTTACTTATACTGAATACAAGATATATCTGTGTTCATGCATTTTTAGGGCTTCTGTGAGAGGGCACTGTGTAGCCAGACAGTTCTTATTTCCTTTTAAAACCACAGTAGTACTATATTTTACAATGCAGTATGACTTATATGAATATGTGTATATGTTGGAAAATATGTATTTGTATGTGGATTTTAACCTTGTTCTGTTCTGGATTTTCAATCTGGTTTTTGCAGTCAGTGTAGCAACTAGGCTGTGGGGTGAATGACCAAGGAATCAGGGTTTGATTCCTGATAGGAGCAACAACCTCTAAATGGATGAGTCATTTTTTAGACAATAAGTATTCTTCAACACAGAAGAATGAATGTGTTTTCAAGTATTGTTTTAGAACTATTTTTGATTGTGATTTTTCATTCTCTTCTCTTCTGCATGGCTCCATGCTGGCTCTTGGGCCCACCTGGCTTCCTACACAAAGGGTACAGAATGTAGTGAGAAAACATGTATTAGAGATGTTTCTTCTCTTCTTCCAGGATTCAGTGGGAAACCCAGTGATGAATCCAGATGTGTCTGGTGGCTGGTCTCATTCAAAGTCAATGAAAAAATTCCAGGATCAACTGCTGTATGGCTCACAGGTGGGAACTGAATCATCTTGCTTCTGTATAACCTCTGCATTTGAAATAACGTCATTAAATTACCTAATAATCAGTCATTGAATTAAACTTTTTCCTGAAATGGAGACTGCATTTTAGATGATGTGGATGTCCTCATCTACTGAAATTTAAGTAAGAACTGTCAAGGAAGAACAGAAAATATAAGCACATAACACTGTGGAAATCTTACTGCATTTCACATAGGAGTTCATACAGTTTATGTTATTTTCATTATTTGCTGTTGTAGACTGGGTCACAGTACACCAGTATCCTCAATGTGTCAGATCTGCAGTCCAGCCACATGACCGAAATCCTGCTAGAACCACAGGAGATTTTAGCGTAAGTACCTTTCATTGCATGAATTTTAATTGTGCAACAATGTCTATATCAGTGGTCCTTAACCTCTTTGGCACTGTTATGCCTTAAGCTTAACCAGCAAACTAAAATTAAACCTCTTGTTTTTTTTTAATAGCCATAGACAGAAATAAAATCATGATTAATCATTTTTATTGAAATTCATTGGCACATAAATTATGTTGAAAAAATTGGACACCTATTGTATTACTCAGATAAATTTCATAGTATTATCATGGCTAATATATGTCTTAAGACATGACTAAGATCCAGTGTATTCCTATCCTGCATTTTAATAGTAGCAAACAGAATTTTATGTTGTACAAAAGATCACTAATTAAATTACCATAGTTTAAATGTACTGTAAAAATTATAAACTATATTGTGTTCCTCTTGTTTGTAATTCTATATTGAAAATGGTAAAACTCATTCATTGATGCATATTATATGTACTTTTTCTGTAAACAGTATAAAACAAAACAGTGAGAATCTCAATTCATAATTAATCCTAAACTTAATTAAATATTACTGAAGACTGAGTTACCTAAAATACCAGTTGTATTTAAAAAAATTAACAACTCTGTTTCATTGCCAAGGCTGAATCAAAACTAATATTTCAATGGGTTTGCCATTGGTTTTACAGAAGCTAATTTGTGACAATTAAACATGTCTCTGCAAGTCAGATCCAGTTGTGTTACCGTATTTTCTGCATGATTTACACTATATCAACTTGGAAAGAGCAATAATAAAGTAGTGTTGAACAAAGTAAATTAAAAAATGTAATAATCTTACTGTTGTTTTGTTTTCATTTAATTTGATAATCATAGTCAATCAGGCCTCTTGAGTCCTGTTATGGATACTGAAAAACAGGATCCTTCTTTTTCCCATTGGCTGATATTTTGAAGTCTCTTCTGGAATCTTCTCAAGCCTCATCCTGTCATTGTGTTCAATTCAGTGACTGTAGTCAGTAAATACATGTATTGCTGATTTTACTCTACTTATTAGAGGTGTGTGTAGCTGACCAGATCATTACACCCTGAAATATGTCAAATTACCTTCAGGTCAAGAGCTGTTGGTCTTAATAGTTGTGATGCATGGTAAATGAGGAAGTCTGATAATTGATATGGATTGTGGAATATATATACAGTATAACTGTCTAGCAGTTGAACTGAAAATAATAGCCAGTATCAAAATCTGATATTGGAATCAGTCCTGTGAGTTCAGTCCAGTTCAAATCATATCAGTCCATTTCGCTGAGCTATATTTTAATATTATTCTCCCAGTTATTTTTATGCCATCCAAATGGCTTCTTTCCATGAGTTTCCCTACCAAATTTCAGTATATATTGTCTATTTCCACCATCTGGGACAAATGTCCTGCCATCATAGCTCACACATTAAACATCATGGTTGAGTGCTAGCTCCAGTTTAGTATTGTTTTCCTCTTTATTTCTTAGTCACCTGTGTGACTTCCTTTGAGGAGACTTTCTCAACATCATTTAGTATACATTTTGTATTTCCCCCATTTGAGATATCCAGCTCTCAAGAATCTCTCACAAAATATCATTTTAAGTTTGTTCTGTTTCATATTTGAAAGGTCCTGGATTTAATTCATAGTCTAGAGGCTGGTTAGTCTGAGGTTTTTCTCAGCCTCTCCAGGAAGATTTTGGAATAGTACCTTAAATAGGCCATACCTGCTTCCACATTCTTTGTAGTTCATCATTACAAATTGTCCTACCAGTCAGTGTTACATGATGTAAGTAGTTGAAGTGTATTTTGATATTTCTGATGAATGTCATATAATGTTGTCATGTTGTTTCCAGGTTGTATGCATCACCCACTCAAATTGCAAAAGAAGAGACAGTGTGCTTAGCAGGGCTGTACCCCATGAGGTACAGTGTGCTAGTACTTGTGGACACTACAGTTCCATTGGCACGCCTGTACCCACAACCCAGCCAGGTTGAGCAAAGTAAAAGAAAAGAAGCTGAGGATTTTGGAAGTTCTTCCAGTGAGGGTGACAGTGCAGAGGAGGAACAAGATTCTGTTCAAGGGACTGACTTCGATAGCCTTGGACCGGTGAGGAACCAAATTGAGTAGCAGGAGGTCCTGCAGCAAATCCAGGACTTGTGTTCAGATGGATACTGGTTCATTCTGAGGCCAGATTTTGGTGCAGATTTTTCTGTGCTGGAAACTTCTTTGTTGGAGCATAGATTCCAGGAATGTAAAGAACACTGTGCTTCCTCCTGCATAGTCTGTATCCCTTCTTCCTCCTCTCTGAGTCCATGTTAGACTCTGGGCCCCTTCTGTTCTCTCATCCTACCATTAGGGACAGTGAAATCTGTATGTGACTGGAACTTTTGAACTCCCATGAACCCACACTGGATTTATTAACAAGAAAAATTGACAGAAATTGCACTATTTTCTTTGTACATAATATTAGAGTGGATTTCATTTTTAATTTATGTTTTGAGCTACTATTTAAAATATTGTGAAGTTTATGTAAATGTTATTGTTATATGTTTAGTGACTGGATACAGGGTTTGTATTGATAATTGGATTTATTGGATGATTATGAGATCATAACTATAAGTAATTATAACTGTTTCATTGATCTGCACACTCTGCAGTTCACTGTCATGCACTAAGTCTTCTCAGCCTGCTCTGTCTTCACTGATTGTAGCTTGGTAATGCATCCCAATGCTGTAGATTCTTCTGCTCCCATGTTCACATCCTTGCTGGTTGGCAACTCTCTCACATCTGACTCATGGGCACAGCTCATGGCCATTGACTCCCTTCCATGCCTGGCCATCACTGGCGACTACTTGTTATCAGTGAGTAGAACTCACTTCCAACTCAGAACTAGTCCGTCTCAATGCATGTCATAGGCAAAATCAGAGTCAAAGTAGGGTTTGTTGATGTGGGTCATCCTCTCTAACAAGAAGGTGGGTCTATCATTCACAATTGATGCTGGCCCTCACCAGCACTGTCATTCTCAGATCCTAGTCCCACGGGACTCAGGACTATATTTTACTGTCTCAGATTCGAGACTGCTCCAATCTGGAGTGCCAGGTCCCCATATTTATATTCCTCAGGAACAGGGTGGCCCCGTTATAACCCCAGCCACTGGGTTCCCTTTTCATCACCTTCTGTGACTCGCAGGACTATGGTAGAGGTATTTGAACCTACTGCCACATGGACTTAACTGTCTGCTCTTATTAGTTCTCCTTATAGTCTCTGCATGGAGTGCATAAGAACGCTGTCTTCATGATTTCGCTGTTGTTGGGTGTCTGTTCTCCAACAGTTCCTGAATTGTCACACGTATCTGTTGCCATGGGAATGTATTTACAGAGCTATTACTTAGGTTGCTGTAGCCTAGCAATGGATGTTTCATCTCATTCCACATTTCTGGCTTTCAGCCATCAGGCCACAGTATTTCATGTCCACCTTTATGGACAGACTAAGTCTGTGTCACAACTAAGCCCCTCTCCTTTATTTCCTTATTTTTGATGGCTGTGTTGCTGTATGTTCAAAGAATGGAAACAAGAGAGTGATGATAAATTTTAAACTTTTTCATTGTATTTTCTTTTGCTACTACAGTGGAATAAAAAAAGATGCTGAAAAAACTATACCTATTTATATCTGTACATTAGTTGCCAATCTGCTTAAACAAAATGTATGAGGGGGTCCACAGAATAAGCAAAACTTTTAAGCTGTCCCCAGGGCAAAAAAATTTGAGAACCAATGATGCACACAATCACATATATCTGCTTGTAGACTTGCACAACATGTGTGACATTATCCCATACTTGGCTGTCTTCAGTGGGATGTATTGTACCCCAGCATGCCTTCCCATCTAGAGCAGCAGACTTATCTGTGGTGACAGCTCTGTTTGAAGTATACAGATCCTTAAATTTCTTTTCCAGGCTTTTAAGAATTGGCTGTATGTTATTAGTTTTGGGGTTGAGATTGTTTTCTAGGTCACAAGTTTTGTTCTTGTCAAAATACAAATATTGTTTAGATAGGAGAGGTGTACAGTAGTACACTGTTTGTGAAAATAAGGGAACAGAAGTCATTGGATTTTGTGACCATACAGTAGCTGATCTTTACAGTATACTGTAAAATAACTTGCACCAAAAAGCATGAATTTATTTGTTGTTGGATACCACTGTTAGCAGCAGGCATACCTACGTGCTTTTGTTGGATTAATTGGCATGTCTGTTAATTTCATCAACTATGATACTGACTAATGCATTGTCTGGACTAGAAAGTGACTGAAAACAGGAACAAACTTTTATCTTATTGTACTTCAGACTGTGTATATGGTGTACCTCAGGAAACTGGTGTCGTAGGATGATCTTGAGACACGTTCACCTCAATCCCTTGTCAAGCTTGATATATCCACTGAATTTTCTGAATATGAACTGGAGTTTTCATAATTTGCCATAAATGCATCACTGCCAGGCCTAAAATATCAAAATCTTCCACTTCATTTCCATTGCTCTAAGGATGTAAATATTATGTAACAGTATATACATATAAACAGATATAGTATATGTAATTGCAGGTAGTGTGGGAATTTTCAGTATGTGTTGGAGTAACATAAAAGTTGTCATATGAACATGCTGTCTAGTACAGAAAAATATATATATGCATGGTTTGCAGAAGCACAGCAGTATATCACATACTGATGTGTCATATCATACAACTGCTGTGAGCATGGCTTGAGTTATTTTGGTTTAATAATTACAGGATGAAAGAAGATAATTACGCCTAAGTTAATTTGAGACTTTTTTTTCCTCAGAATTCATCAACCCAAAGAAAATCAGGATAATCAGTGACAGGGTTAATATATTGCAATAAGAAATCTTTGTAGTATGACTTTTGGTCCAAAAACTGGTAAAAATGGCTTATAATGAGCATGAACTTGGACTTTCAGCTTTCAATGATCCCTGTGCTAGTGACCTCAAATTCTTGACTCCTTTCAGCCAGCACACACAAGCCAAGCAGAATTAAGTTCCTTTACCAGCACTCACACGGAAGAGTGTTTATAATGGCCACCATATTCTTTATTTGGCACAAACATGATAAAGGTTGTTTTCCCCCTGTAGGTTCCAGAATGGATCAAAGCTGAACTGGCCCAGTCTGAAGCTGTATGGATGGGATTTTCAGTGCCGCAGTCCACTGCAAGGTGAGTGGCATGTTAGAGTAGGGTTCAAGGACAGAGAACCATGTGTCTGTCAGGGCTATGGATACTGTCAGTATTGTGTGACAAAGTCATTTCTCCTTTTAAAGACCTTTACACAAATTATCTTCAGTATATCAATTTTGGGGACACATCCAGTGTATGTGTTTTATTTACCCATGTTAGGCGGGTCTCTCTGTCACCACGGCATGGTGTGTCCTCAGGTTGCAGATAGAGATGGCTTCCAGATATGGAGGGTAGCTGTGACTATATTGAATAAGCAGTTGTGAACAGCTGACATGGGGTGGTCTTCCAGCTTGGTGGTTGAGTGTGGGGCTAACAACTCCTCACCATAAAAAAATAAGCTTGTTATGAAAGATCTCAAGAAACCTTTGATCTGGATGGATTCTTTGGATAAATGACCTAAGCAAGAGAAAAGGGACATGAGATTTGGTACTTGGTATGTTAAAAATTCTGTAGAGGGCAGGTTCGCTCAGGATAGTGGCAGAAGAAATAGTGGGAGTACAGGAGGTTGGATGGGACAGAGGTGGCACTGAACCAACAGGCGAATATACATTTCTCTATGGAAAGGGGAATGAAAATTATGAATTAGGTACATTTTTTTTTGTGCATAACAGGTTGCGCAGGAGAATATTTTGAACAAAGAGAGATGAAGTGATGGGAGGTTGGAGAAAACTGCATAATGAGGAGCTTCATAACTTGTACTCTTTGCCAAGTATAATTCAACAGCTCCATGGCTTTTAGTCCACAAGCGATCTATACTGACCGAGAGATCGCCGCTTGTCGGTGAAGTTAGTGCCAACTTTTGCAGATAGAGGGTGTCGCATGGTCAGCACAATGGATTCCCACTCGCCAAGTATAATTAGAATGATCAAGTCAAGGAGGATGAGATGGGCAGGATATGTAGCACGAATGGGGGAGAAGAAGAATGTATATAGAATATTGGTGAGGAAAACTCGATGGAAAGAGACCACTGGGAAGACCAAGGTGTAGGTGGGTGGACAATATTAAAATGGTTCTTAGAGAGATAAGGTGGGATGGTATGGATTGGATTGATCTGGTTCAGGATATGGACCAACTCTTGTGAACATGGTAATGAACCTTCAAATTTCATAAAATGCTGAGAAGTTCTTGAGTAGCTGAACAGTTGGCGGCTACTTGAGAAGGGCTCGGCTCCATGAGTTAGTGTGTTGTATTTACAATGTAAAAATCTTGGAATCAGTTGTGTGCAGCAAGTAAGGAAAGCCCTTAAGGTTAATGTTAACAGGTGATCCTCAGAGTAAACAAGTGAATAACATAGTTTCACCAGTCTCTAGAGCTGATATAGTAAGTTTATGGGCTACAGACTGGAGAGTTACCTTCTAGCGGGAGAATTGGGATTTTTCTGTTCACCATGTTCAAAACTTCTTTGGGGTGTACTCAGCCATGTACGCAATGGGCATCAGGGACTCTTACCCTCAGAAAAAATAAGAGAATGTGAAGCTGGCCCCTCACCTTGATTAGTTAGCAAGGTTTTCTTCCATACTCTCTACATGCTTTCATGGTGGATGCTAAATACAAATCTGTTATACTCATCTGATTTCAGATGGTTATATTTTCTTTTCAGGCCCATTAAACATGTGGCTTCTTTGAACATACTGCGTAATTAAACACAGGGACACTTTTGCTGTAAATGGTGCATGTAAAAATATGATTTGAGAGACTTTATTTTAAAATTCAATAACATGGAGCAGAAGTATGGCTGTGATGGGGCATGCAGTAGTGTAGCTGGTTGAAGCACTGTGTTACAAGCCTGAAGGTTGCAGGTTCAAGTCCCAATGAGGTGGTAAAGTTGTCCATGCTTAACTAACTAAGCACTATGCCATGAAGGCATATGGGGGAGTGGATGTATGGATCCACATTTTCTTGACCTTGGAACTAGATGGAGGTGAGTGGTCAGCTTCACGCCCCTGCTGCTTTATCCCCAAGGAAAGAGCCCCTTGTGTCCATTGGATAGGAGGTTGGGTGAACCCCAGAGCCAGTCTGCATGACTTGAAGAAGAGAAAATTCTTGCCACCACTGGGCCTCAAACTCTGACCACTTGGTTGTCCAGCCTGTAGCCAGTTGCTGTCCCGACTCCTCCCAGTGAGGTGGATTTTTCAATTTACCTAATCCTTCTAGCTGCACTATGGCCCTGGCATCGACTCAGCCTCTAACAGAATTAAGTACCGTGAATCTTCCTGGGGGGTAAAGAGCAGCTGGCATGTAAGGCTGACAACCTTACTGCCATCTGTGAGCTGACTGTCTCACAACCCTATGGGCCTTCACAGTCTGTTAACAGGGACAGAAGTATGGATGTGAACTGTGCCCTTAATCCTGTTTTTACCATTAGTTACTGTCTGCAACATGTAGTGTTTCATCAGCAGTGTTATACCTGTTTGATAAGGCATTACTTATGTTTTTCAAAATAAAAGGTACAGGTACAATTTTTCTTATGGTGAATGAAGCAGTGTTATTAAGTTGTATGCAGAGGCAGAGGTATAGCTCCACATATACTTAACCTTGATATTAGATGGATGTGAGTGGTCAGTTTTATGTCCTGGCCAATTTTCCCATCAGTTCATCTATCTTCCTTAACACTTTCATTTTCATATCTCACAGTAGAAAACCATGTTTTGTAAACATACAAGGGCTATTTGGAAAGTAACCTTTGTTTATTCTAGGCAACTAAGGTAAAGGCAGAGGAGAGCCTGTTCATGTGAGGTAGCATCACGACTCATTGCCTTGTAAACTGTCATATAACTGGTTAACTAGTATTTGTTCTTGTCTCTACAGAGTGAGTTATGATATGTCTTGCAATTGATAATCCCACCAGCTGCGAAATTCACGCTGTTATCTGCTTTCTTCACACTTAAAAACGTGAGTGCTGTGGAAATCCATCATGAATTAAGAACTGTAAGACAATCCTATAAAATGTTCAAAGATGGGCAAAAAAATGTTCATGATGAAGAGTGAAGTGGTCAGCCATCTGTAGTGGGTGATGATCTTATTCTTTACAAGATTATCACAGGCTAGGCTATCACAATTTTTGTGCAAGATGGGTTCCAAAAATACTCACAGGTGCACACAAAATGCAGAGGATGGCTTCAGCTTTGACTTTAGAGTGACACCACAGAGATGGCAATGAATTTCTGAGTCACATTGTAACAGGTGAAGAAATGTGGGTTTCATTTGTGAATGTTGGAACCAAAGAGTAATAAAAGCAGTAAAAGTTTAAACAAATGTCTATCAGAAAGCTGATGACGTATGTTTTCTGGGACAGGAGAGGGGTGCTGATGGTGGAATTCATGCAACAAGGGACCACAATAACATCAGAAGTGTATTGCAAAATGCATGAAATAACTGCACAGGACCATTCAAAACAAAAGGCATGGAAGCTAACATCTGGTGTAGTGCTCCTTCATGACGATGCATGTCCACATACAGTTGCTTGCACTCAAGCAGTTCTGGAGCACTTTATTTAGGAGTTGTTTTACCACCCTTCATACAGCCCTCTCGCTCTGATCAACTCCCCACCTGTTTACCTACCTAAAGAACTGGTTGGAATCACAGCGCTTCAATAATGAGATGATGGAGTGTCAAAATATGGCTGAGCTCACAGGCATACAAAAGCTATTCCCTAATACAAGTGCCTAGTTCTGGAGGTGACTACATTGAGATGTAGCTTAAGTATGTATATATTTTTTGTATATAATAAAAAAAATCCCTCATTGCTTGTTGTGTTAATAGCTTACCAAAGGTTACTGTCTGAATAGCCCTCATATAAAATGATGACACATCAAAACAGTTCCTTTTCCTCCCTTTCTCTTAATTACATACTGTGCAAAGTTTTTCTTCCATTAATATAAAGCTGTTATTGCTTTTATCCCGTGCCTTAAATCAGAAGTTCTCATACTTTTTGTGCATGGTACTGCCTGAAACAGTTAATCAAATGTGGGCATGTATCCACAGATGAAAGCTTTCAGTGAGAAGGCTGAAAAATATGAATGAGGACTTACGGTACCCAAACAAATACCACTACGACAGTTTGTGAAATGCCTTAGATTAGACAAACATCATATAATCAACAAACAACTATATTTTATTAAGATCCCAAATACATTCAATAAATATGGTCAGTAAAAATTGTTACCATCTATATGATGGGGTACCCAAAAGAAACCGAACTAATTTTTTTGTGGGCAGAGCTTTTGTAGTACCGCATTTTGCCGCTATGAGCGCATAGAGCTAACATTCCTGAGTTGATAAGCCGACTACCGTTGCTTCAGAAGGTAAGGACTAGTTTTGGCAGAGTTTATAGTGACAACTGTTTTGTGTGATCGTCGTTTTTGCAATGGCTGATTTTCGTGAACAGCGTGTGGCCGTGAAATTCTGCTTTTTGCTCGGGAAAAGTGGAACAGAAACTCTTGAAATGTTAAAAACGGCGTACAAGGACGATGCTATGGGGAAAACTCAAGTGTTTGAGTGGTTTTCCTGTTTCAAAAATGGTGAAATGTCAATTGATGACAAACCTCGTTCTGGTCGTCCTTCCACGGCCCGAACACATGAAAATGTTGAAAAAATTCGTGAAATCATCAAGGAAGATCGACGACGGACCATTGAAGAAATTGTGGAGCTGTCGGGAGTGACTTGGAGCTCAGCGGCCAGATTTGTGGCAGTCGGGTGACTGGTTTTTCCATCATGACAATGCCCCTGCTCACACAGCCCTGTCTGTACGACAATTCTTGACCAAAAATGGTATGACCCCTGTTCCTCACCCTCCATACTCACCCGACATTGTCCCGTGCGACTTTTTTTTGTTTCCTCAAATGAAAAGAGACATGAAAGGAAAAAACGACGGAGGCGCTGTCAAGCATCTCAAAAGATGAATTTAGACACTGTTTTGAAAAAATGGAATAAAAGACTAGAGAAGTGTATTAGTGTAAGTGGAGAGTACTTTGAAGGGGATTGAAGGTTTGTGCTTAAAATTTGAATAAATAAGTTAAAAAAAATAAGTTCGGTTTCTTTTGGGTACCCCCTCGTACATATTATGAACAAATGTCAGCAAGATACATAAACCAGTATTTCATAAAACTGCTTGAGAGTAAAACCAAAATTTCAACAGATTTGTACACAGGAAGGAGATGGCATTTTTATATAAACAATAAAATGGTAAATTCTATTAATATGCTCAGCAGACATGCAAGTATATCATTCATTGAGTTCTGATAAATAGATTAGTCATATTTACCAGCCATAAGATAATTAAAAAAGTGAGCTTTAAAGTACAACATGTATAAAAATTAATCACAGATTAAGTTGCTTTTTCTTCATTGCATCCTTTCTGCATTTCATTAGTCTTTCTTCTTCTTTCTTTTGATGTTCATCACTTCTGTTGTTTTGTTCGGGCTGGAAACAGTGAGGATACAGTTAGCTGGTTCAATTGAAATACCTTTTTGAATGCAACACCCCCTCCCCCCTTCATGAATACTCACCTTTATTTTATTTTCAATTTTTGTTTGACTTTCTGTAAAAAATGACTGGTTTTGGGTTTCAGATAAACTTTCCTCCTGCTGTGAACATAAAGAAGTCTGAAAATAGCTGAATGAAAATATTTCATTGTCCTATAAATAAGGTTGAGGTTTTCCTGGTAGTGACTGTTCAGACTGTGGTCTTTTGGACTGTGACACATAATCGTGTGAGTGGGTACCAATATTTGCTTCCATCTTCAGGTTGAAGTGTGACCCCAAAGATGGAGGCAACATGTTCTTCAAAAGAAGATTACACTGTCATAATCCAAAAGACCACAATCTGAATATCAGTATCCTGCTAGTCTGTACTGCATGCATGACCTAACAATACCACAATTCAAAAGCTATGTTATCAACATAGACAAACTGTGTTTGTGGCCTTTACTAATATTTATTAATCTATTTGATCCACATCAGGCAATTTGCATTTCTGTACACAATTTGATGTTCTTACAGTGCTGGTTTTGAACAGTTCTATCTTCTGAGATATAATGTTGTGTAGTCCACTGAAAGTCAACTGGTGTTTCAGAGGTGGCATATTCCTCCAAAATATTGGCTGACTTTCAATGGACTGCACATCGTTATATCCCAGAAGATAGATGTGTTCAGTTTGCATCACCACTTAAGACAAAACTTGAAAGAGTTCAGACTGACAAAAAAAAGTCTTTTTCTATACAGAGATTTTTGTGAAATTTCTTAAGAATGTTCAAGTGAGACTGAGCAGTAAACACTAATTTTATTTCAAAGTTCAAATACACTTTGAGAAAATGTCTGGACACAGATTGGACTGAGAGGCCTCCGAATGACAGTCCAATCAGTCAATGTCTTACTCTTAGGCTACCAGATATCCTTACTCCAAGAATGTACTTTTTATAAATATATTTATTGATGCTGACCTTAGGATTCTTCTTTTGCTTTTTCTCAGGAGATGAATCATTGATGACACTTTGCGTTTCACTGTCTTCAGCATCTGCATGTTGCTCAGCAGCTTCTTTCCTGTAACAGCACAAGAAGGGTGTTTTCAACCAAGTCATCTTTACACAGTGCTGCCTGAGAGTGGGCATATCATCTGCTTGACAAGCCAGACACCACTGTGAAATAATTATAAATTATTCGAGGTATATAATGATGGGCCCGTCACGGTAGCCGAGTGGCCTAAGGCATGTACTGTCTTCGCTCGCTTGGAAACCAGGATCATGGGTTCGAATCGCACTCTGGGCATGGATGTTTAGTTTGTGTGTGTGTGTTCTTCTGTTTGTATACAGGTAGAGGCCTTGTGACAAGATGATCCCCCACCCAAGGAGTCCTACCGAATGTGTAAGATCTAGAAAAACCAAAGTGAACGGAGAAGTTCATGGAGGTAGGCCTAGGCTCACTGGGGCTGCAGTGCCAAGAAAAAAAAAAGTATATATATATATATAATGATGGACATGTGCAAATAAGGGAAAAGAAACATATTAAACACCATCAACATTACATAAATTTTTACACTCATGGTATGTCCCAGTGCCAAGTGCCTTGCCACCAATGTGGAGGATATGGCATGTAAAAATACTTAGGTATTCCTCCACACACACTGCAGTCTCTCTGCTGGCAGCACATAAGCTTCAGATGGTACTGTCAGGTTATGATGGACTCACCTGTCTTAAAATTGTATACTATCAGTGAACATTTTGTAGCCTTTGGGGAAGACAGATTGGGGCACAGTGTTTTAACTATTGAATTTTTATTTAATAGACTTGCATAAAACTGTACAAATTGTATAAGGTTTGCCATTACTTTTACTACTAAAATTAACTTATTTATTATATTGTATATGTTTATCAGTATTTTATACAAATGTGCATGTTACTGGATGACAACTGTAATCCTTAGTTGTGACTGTAACAAGGACGATCTTCACATCCACATGAGAATGTACTCTCGACAGGATTTATGGAAGGTGAATAAATGAAATGAAATGAACAAAATGGCATCTTTCAAGGTAGTGAGACTGAAATACTCTACTGGACACCTGTGTCTTCTATGGCAATGAATTATATGATTTTTTAATGCACTTCAGATGCAATATGCATATTTTCTGATGTAAATTGGAAAAATAATGGCATATCAAAATACAGAAACTATATCAACTTCAAACATTTGTTCAGCAAATTACAGCAAAGGTGTTGAAAATTAGCATATCTGATTTAGAACTGCTTCATGAATGAAGCAGGGTATGTGGAAATATACTTACAATTTTTTACAGTTTGCATACTTCTCCATCACATTATCGTATAAGTTTTGCATTTCTTGTGTGAACAACTGTGTTGGTTGTAAAGGAAATTCATCAGGTATTTTAATTGTTGTACACAACTTCTCAAAGTGACTCTCAATAAATGCAAGTGTCTCAATGTTTCCTGAAATGGAAGGTTGTATTGGGTTTAATTGGGCTGAACTTTTTACATGAATATCCAGAAGTTGACATGATTCGCTGAGAGCTAAGTGAAGGTTTGCATGACACTGACCATTACAACAGACATAATTTTATTCTGTTACTTCCTCTGTGAAGAAATATGCTGGCTCCAATGTAATACACCATCAGAGGATCCAAAGTTTGATTCTTGACTGATTATGAATCAATTTCTCTGCACAGATGTATACATTCATCTCCATGAATTTCAGGTTTTGGGAATATGGAAGATATGAAGTATAGTCCAGAACCCATGCTAAGCTATGGGCTGTGTCTGCCATTCACTACCCTCACCATCATTGTACCACTGACAAGAACTGAATTCCACTTCACACGTGGTCCACCTGAAAAATGGGTCCTTCACCATTCAGGGTAGGCAGAGGTCAGGAAAGTCAATAAGAAAATAACTGGAGGCATTCACCTAGTCGTCACTGAATATTTATTTAGTGCCTCAGAACATCTGGTCGCACAGTCACTTAAATGTTTTCTGATTTATCATTCTTATATATGTCAGTGATATACTGATACACAACAGGATGCATTCCCTGAAGATTATTAATGCTAGTCATGCAAAGAGTGTATATAAATACATGAATATGAAGCTTAAACTACTGAATTGTAACACATATATATTTTAATAAAATATGTTAGAACAAAATTTTACATCAAAATATGCACAGACAAAATTGTGTTGATGGATACATAAAAATGATATATTGATACAACAGGATGCATTCCATGAAGATGTTTTCTGGTTATTCACTGTTAATCCCCTCATTACAGGCTTGGTTTCTGGGATGCATGAAAGGAAGTCATACAATTCAGAAACCATTACAGGAGAGACAGCTGTATGATATTGTTGTGTGTTGGAGTGACTACAGGTGTGTTTGAATTGATAATTGGATTTGCTGAGCATTTTAACACACAACTTGTGACAGTTAAAAATCACTGTCACACACAACTAGTGTTCTCGTTCTGTTACAGTCTTTACTAGCTGTTGCTTGGTAGCGGCTTCAATGGCAGACGTTCCCCTTCCTCTGGGTTCCTGAACCGTGCCCAGCCTCAGCTACCAACTTCTAACAGCAACAGTTCAGAATGACTGAACTACAGCAGTCCTCTAACTCACTCGCTCACCAACTAACTCCTCACTAACTTGTCCTACTTACAACATCTTGGTATGGATCATGTAGAAAACGCTGCTTCCCATTATTATTGTCATGGAACTGTTCCGTTCGTGTCTGTTGGCAGAGCCACTACCTAGCAACAGCTGTTGTATAGTTGTCTGTTTCATGGTTGTTGCCTAGCAGTGGGTCTACATGTCACAATATATAATACACATAACTGTCAGTGCAACCCATTATATATTGCTATCACTCACTGCGAGACAGTTGAGCTCCTTCTAGTTTATATTCTGTTATTTCAATGTCTTTCTTCTTCAGCAAGTCAAACAGCAAATGTTTCTGAGCCTGCAGTTGTTGTACCATAAGGAGTAATGGTAAAGTAATTTCATCATATATCTGTTGGCACACAGAATGAAAAATGCATTGTCACTGGGGACCTCCTACAATTAAAAATGATCATACAGTCAGTGAGCTGAGGTGTGTAAGGCATGCATGCATTTGGATAACAAAAATTCTGGTTTAAAAACTTCATGCAGAAAGGCTAATAGGCAAAGGTATCCCACCATATAAAGGTATAGAAAATAGTTGGTTTGGCACCCATGCACCAACTGGATGTTGTGCTCCAAATTTCTTTGGGGGTGTCATGCACAAAAATGCATATGGTTTTCCTTGTCCACTGAAAGCAACTCTGAACAAAGAATGCACTTTCACTTTCTTGACAGTTCTTTGATACATGGTGTAAGGTAATTGTAGAAGCATATGCAGTGATCTAGAAAGTGAATCCACCAGCTGCTCTTCTATATCATCATCTGTCCAGCACCTTCCACATGTTAATGAGGCTTCCCAATGTTTCTAATTTTTTCACCAGTTTATGAAAGCAGCATTTTGGTGGTGGTTCTAGGATGGCCCTGTTTGCCAATATGATACGTGTGGCAAATGAAGAACATGTGCGTTTTGATTAAATACATCTTTATGTCATGAGAATAAAGCACAGAATGGCTGGTGGACGGCCTGCAAGAAAATGTTGAAAAATGGTCAGAACTGTCCAATAAAAGCAAGAGTGGCAGGATGCAGTTTCACAGTGACTGAGGTAGTGTCTACAATGTTTGACCACCATCAGTTCATAAAGAGTGGTAGTATTTCTGGAAATTTTAGGCCTCTAGTGAGAGGATCATTCTCTTCAGTGAAGCATATGGAAATAAAATGGGAAGAATATACAGTGGCTCAGAATAAGTTTGTGTAGTAGTCTTTGGTTCTGAAGGGTTCCACTCTGACAAAATTAAAAATAAATATGAGATAAAGAAATGCACTTTTTCTTCATAATGCTGCCATCTATATTCTAGTTCATCAGTTATTACTGATGTATATAATTGAAGGATAAAGTTGATGAATCTAGTATCTACATTTCTACACTTACCTCTTGTGAGGTCATCACCTTGAGATAAAACTTCACGGTAAATGGCACACCAGCTAGTTTTGAATTAATCTCCATGACTTGGGCATTTTCACATTCTTTTATACTAATCTGAGCATTAGTCTTGTCATGTATTTGTGATAATGTCCACTGTGATACAGTCTCTTCATCACCTTCCACAAGAGGATTGAAGCACTGGAGAAAACGTTACTGCATATAATACACGCTTTCGTAAAAGAATATTCAGTTATACTACAATGTCCTGTAAACTTTACCTTACATCGCTGATATAGTGATGCTGAAGTTATTTCTTCACCCCACATATTCACGAAACTGGAAAGTAGTACTTTATGGTGCCCATCCATGCTAATCTTCTTAATGATGTAATCATTATGCTCTATCCTTATGTGTTTCCACATTACTTAACAAATGTAGTGTGAAAATCCTAACCTCTCGTATACGGTCTCCGACCCCGACCGTCACGAAGCTAGTAACGAAACTAACGAAAGCTGACTGATTGAATTACTAATCGATAATGTACATGGAACGATATATCGCGTATAGTTATAATAATAGTTGATACTCCGAGTTACATGGTGGTACAAGTGATGACTACGTTTGTTAATAATGGTACGTATGCTGTTGTGTTGCTAGGTGTCCAAGGTGTTAAGAAATGTTAATTTTGTGTAGCACCTCAGTTACATCGCATATTTTCGTAATTAGTAAGTAGCCTAGTGGTCAGGAAAAATCTAATTGTAAGAACGGTTTGTACTTGAACCCTTTGAACTTTCTCCATTTTGACTACGAAAGTAGATTCTACTATACATTACAAAAATTAAGCCACTATATATGGCATCGAATTGTATACATATGTAAGATTATGCGAACTAGTATTGTGTAACTTAATATAAAAGTACGTACGTAATATATGTCCTGAGTAAAAAAGAAATAGCTGATGTTAATGTAAAATAAACCAAGTGGGAAGAAAGTTGAACATACATTTGACAGGCATTAGTCAACTCTGGCCAACTCTTTGTGAATGAATGTTGGTCTTTCCGCCTTCTCAATTAGTAGTTGTCAGCTCATCTTCCATTTGTTAAATATGACACATCATTATTTATCAGGGGCGATGGATCCGAATCGTGAATCCGGACTGGGGAGTGATTCTGATAATATGGCAGAGTTAGCAGCATTGTTGACCGCCGAGATACCAGAAGGCAGGAGTAGTCTTGCAGATAGCCACACAAACTTGGAGAGGGTAGCAGAATACTGTGAAGGGAATTACTTTCAGGTAAATGTATTGCATGTATCCTGATATGTATAAGTAAAGGATATTTAGATTTCTTTGCTTAATATAGTTTTTGTGTATAATAGTCTGAGAACAAACGGGCTGCTCTTGAAGAGACCAAAAACTACACCACCCAGTCTCTGGCCAGTGTTGCTTACCAGATCAACACTCTTGCATACAACTTCTTACAATTGCTGGACCTTCAGACTGCTCAGCTTGCAGAAATGGAAAGTCAGATGAATCACATTGCTCAGGTATGGCCTTTTTTTTTAAGTAGTTTATCATGACATAGAAACTGTGAATTAAGTTAGAGGCTCTGTCCGTTTATCTTTGCACTCTATTCTCCTAATGTAGTAGTTGCTGGGTAAGACATACTTGGCAAGGAAAAGTAGAGAATCAAATTTGCTCAGGTAGTTACTATAGGATTCTGACGATAGTGTATAACACACAGAGATATTGGGTTTTCAGACTTTATCCATCGTCCCGGTTTTTAAGATAACTAAGAAGAACACGACATTTCGGAAACTGGATCTGTTTCCGTCCTCAGGTGAGGGAAAACACCTATTCTGTTGGGTCCCTTAGAAAGAGCTAGCCTCAATAACTTCTTAGTTATCTTAAAAACCAGGATGATGGATAAAGTCCGAAAACCCAGTATCTCTGTGAATTTGCTCATGTTTATGTGTGAATGATATGTGCAGAGAACCGAGATACTAAAAGGGACAAGGAAGAAGGTGAGAAATGGTAAAAAGGTGAAGTTGTTCCTGTGCTTAACTAATTAAGTACTATGCCATGAAGGCATATGGGGGAGTGGATGTATAGATGGAAGAGACAAAATTGCACAGTTTTCATTACCATGGCCTCTAATAACATAATCAAACCATAAAGTTATATGTGTCACAAAAACCATTAATTTTTTTTGCTAATGCTGTTTTTTTGCAGAGATAAGTTATATGTGTTTGTATTATCCTAGTGTAAGAAATATCATGACATGCAGATTTGTTATGAAGCGATAGTCTGCCTGTCTAATCAGCATGAAGACTGTCATATTTAACTTGATTTGCCTATAGACAGTGATGATCCACAAGGAGAAAGTTGCTCGTCGTGAAATTGGAGTGTTGACAGCTAACAAGACTACAACTCGACAGTACAAGATAATTGCCCCTGCCAATCCTGAGAAACCAATTAAATATGTACGGAAACCTATTGATTACACAGGTAAGGGTTTTATAATGCAATGCAATCATGATGGCCTTGACACATACTGTTTTCTGGAATGTGATGCTATAGAGCCTGGTTCCCAGCTGTTCCTCTGAAAGGTCTTTGAACTTCTTCTGAGGTACATCACATCCCAGAAGATAGTACCCTTCATAGCCACTGCTGTGAAAGCCTGAAATCTAACATAGTGATCTGGTTTTGTCAATCTTTTGTTACTTGTGTCACAATCTGTTGTATATGTTATGGTGATGTAAGCGGATGAGCTTGGCTAAAGTCTGCATACAACCTACCCTTGTTTTCTCAACTTTCAAGAGCCTGAAAACTGTTGAAAACAGGCAGTAATTTGTTCAAGGATAAGTCCATTCTCTGTTCTATATGATGTGTAGGTATTCAGCACTCATAAAATTTTGTACTTTCAGCCTTGGATGATATTGGTCACGGAGTAAGAACAGCATCAACAGGGGGCACTCCCCGTTCTAAGCAGAGAGGCTCTAGTCAGGGTAGCATCCAGTCACTTGGTTCAGTATCGACGACGGGCATGGGGGCTATTGTAGGTCCGGCCCCCACGACAAAACCTCCAACTCCTCCACAGGCTGTGCGTACGGGGGGCAGCCTTAGTAAGGGATCCAGAGAGTACAGGACTCCACCTGCTGTAGCACCACCTCAGGTTAGATCTTAATCTGCATCATTTAGCTGCAAAGGTTTTGTGGCAATGGATAAGGAATGACAAGAATACTGAAGTACTTGTGGCATAATTTAAGGTGCTGTACTGGTTTCTCCCTTGTGGGATTAGAAGATCCATGGAGAACCTCTGTCAGGGTCTCTGAATTTAAGGTAAAAACATGATCTAACTGAATAACTTGGGTTTTTGGCAGTGAATTTGAAAAATAACATTACCAAAGTGGCCTTGCTTATTTTTAATCTTGAACCCTAAACAAAGGATTTCTTAATTGTTACAGATTTATAATATGGTAACTTGTATTTGTATCTCTTTATTTAACATGCATCCATATGTTATTCTCGGCAGATTTCTCATCACAAGACTAAACCCAACAAAAACGTAACGTGGGATTATATGTAATTTAACCCATTACCAAGTTTGAGTTTGTTGGAGAAGCATGTCCAAATATAAGAAAGATGTATGTTTTTTTTTTTTCTGCTTTGTTAATACAGCTAGATGACTGTCAATAAGCTGTATAAATATGAGAGTTATTAATATGAAGGCTGTTTGGGGATTATTTTGGGGGAAGGAGTAGAGGCCATTAAAAATAGTCCCCATAGGCTTTGAGTTGGGTGTGCCGTTTGATGTACCAGCTAATTGTTGGCTGAACTGAACATGCAAATGGTTTGCTGTTGAGTGAATGTCTTATATCAAAACATGAAAAGAGAAAAGAGGCATGACTAATTGGTCACTCTATTGTTTGTAATCACCATTTGTTCCTAAATGATAATGCTTTTCCAAAAATAGCTTTTAGTGCACCTTGCACAGTGCTGTAGAAGAAGTGGGGAAGAACACTGAAAGAATGAATTGTAATACCTATAACAAGCAAAGTAGGCATGGTGAGAGTGAATAGGGTTATGGTCAATTCTCAACAAAACTTTCTTTTGTATGTAGTTTATCTTTTCCATCTGTAATAGTGCAGAGGTTTGTAACTATGATTTTTAGTGATTTTTGGAATAGGCTGACTCAGCCAGCACATCACAACTTGATCTTGAAGTTAGGCTCCACTTTTTACTTGGTTAGACACTAAAGTTGTTTCTTTTTGCTTAGGAATGAGCTAACTTGTGTTTAACTGTTTGTTGCATTTACTGTTATGTGACATTTACAGGTGCCAAGTCACTATGCGCCCAACTATCCACTGGGACACCCTCGTCGTGGAGAGAGGGGTGCCGGTTATAGCACCCTGCCAATGCCTCCCTCAGCACACATACATTCCCATACACTGCCTCATCATACTCAACAGCATGTATCCCATCCTTCTCCCCCCATGTCACCCCCTCAGGTAGGCATGGTGCATCCGATACCTCACAATATTCAGCAGACTGTGCAATCATCGCATCCACAGACTCCTCCCCCTCCACCGCCACCAAACTCGTACACATTGGATCACAACTCCAGCATGCCACGTGAGTTTCTCATTCATGTCTTGTTTGCTAGTGAATGTAACTATCCCAGCGGGTTTTCTGTAGAAGCTAATGATCACTTTTTTGGAACCTGAAGGTTCATTACCATATTCTACCAGGGCTTGCCACTGGACCCCACTCTGAGCCAGACAAATCCAGTCCACATCTTCACACACTTTTTCCGTAAGATCCATGCTAATATTGTCTTTTCATTTAAGCTTGTGTATCCCAGTGATTTTTCCTGTCACATTTTCTGGGTAAAATTTCCCATCTCTCCCATGGATGTTATATGTCTTGCACTTTGCATCTTACTTGATGTGAATACCCTCTTAATATATGGAGAAGAGTAAAAATTGTGAAGCTTCTGTGCAGTTTCCTGCTACTTCCTTCCTCGTAGGTCCGGATATTTTCAGCACTTTAGTTTCAAGCACACCCTCCTTCTGTATTCTCTGTCAGTGGATGTTGCAGTAACCAAATACAGTAGATTCCTGATTAAATGGGTGGATTGGGCCACGCCATAGCACAAGTTGTTGCTGGCTTCCCACCACGGCTGCCCGGGTTCGATCCTGGGTCTGGTCAAGTGGGATGTGGTGGACAAAGCGGTGCTGGGGTGGGTTTTCTCCGAATACATAGGTTTCCCCTGCCAATCTTCATTCCACCAAATTCTCCATCATCATAATCACTCGGGGCAGGCTACAGTAGGCCAATCAGTTGCCGCTGTGCCGAGTTGACCCAGCTGGACTCCATCCCCCACTAAGCAAAACGGGTGGATTATCTGGGTTGCAAATTATCCAGGAGCTTTGTTTAGAAAACTGACTGATATGTCCATGTCAGAAGATAAACTTCATTGGAAGGTAAATCGCGCTCATGTTTCTGCTATTAGCGTTGAAGTAAAATATACTTAATAAGTGTATGTATCATTTTATAAATCCCAATTCACAATTTGGTTACATACTCCTTTTGTTGATTGTTTGAGGAGATTCATTTCCTATCCTCCACAGATAATTGGGAGTCTACTGTTATCTTTTTCCATTCTGTTCTCAGAATAAACAGATGACTGTTCTTTCTGTTATTTCAAAATATTTGTATACAAAATTCAGGAAATGGAGCCCAGTTTCTATGCATGATCAACTTGAATACACATTTCTAGTGTCATGTGCTTATGTGTGTGCACTTATATGCATTTGGCACCAAGTATATTAGATGGTTGTCAGAAAGAGAACTCTTCCAAAGGAATTAGTAAAAGTATGGCTATCCCTGTAAGAGGCCATGGAGGTGTGTATGGTTGTGAGATGTCAAGGCTCCCACGTTTTCTAGACAGTTAGCTCACAGCTTGTGCCGAGGTTGTTAGCCTTAGTGCCAGCTTCTCTCTACCCCCGCAAAATTCCTGGTGCTCATTTCTGTTAGAGCCTGTGTTTATCCCAGACCCATTGTGTGGCTGGAAGGATTAGGTCAATTGTAAAATCCAGTGACCTCATTGGAAATGAAACCTGCTATTTGCTGGCTTCTAACATAGTGCCTCAACCAACTATGCTACCCCTTGCCCCATGGATCGGTAGTTTTATCATGTATTGGCCATGTATGACAGAGTTGTGTTATTTGTTTTAGCTTCTCTCTCTCTCTCCACTTTCAGTTGTGATGAACAGCAGTGGTGGTGACACAGTTGACCACAGCAGCCTGCATCACCTGCACCACTCCCACACACTGCCACATCATCATTCACCAGGTCAGGCTCTGCACCATCAGCATCGTCCTGGCAATGTTTCTCCTCCACTTCCTCCACCACCTCCCCCTGAGGATGAGCATTCAGGGTTTGGCCGTCCACATGCTGGAAGGATGATGCCAATAGTTCCAGATGAAGAGGATTTACCAGGATGGGTCCCCAAGAACTACATCGAAAAAGGCAAGCTCCTGTCAGTTGAGGAATTATTGAAAATCAAGGCAGTAGTGTTTAAAGTAATAACATACATAGTTTCATGGGTGGTTACTAATGTTTTCAAGGAACCTGCTTCCTTCATCTTCAAGAAATAAGATAAATAGCAGTATGTTTCTTCACAGTTAGTAACCACCCATGAAACTACATGATATAGTAATTTATAAGATTAAGTCTTATTTCCCATAAGTTTTGTTTCTTCCTAACTCATTCATGACACTGTGAACTTCAGAGATTACTGGCTTGTATGCCCAAATAATTGTATGTATACGGCTGTTAGGTTTTCCATGTTTCTCTGGCTGCCTCGATGTCTATGTAACAATTCTAAAACCACAATGGATTTTATGAAATTTGGTAAGGGTGGTGACTTTTACTGAAATAGCTGACTCATCATGTGGTTAAGATTGGACTACAGTAAAGGGCACAGTGCTAAAATTAATGACATGTAACATGTTTAAAATTGTGTAGCTGAGCATAATTTTTCATTATTCTATTTTCCTGCTCCCCCACTCTCAAAAGTATACTTCCAGTTCCACATACAGCACATGATAGTTCGTTGTGTCACTTGATTAGTTTGCCCATTTTACAAAAAAATGTTGGTACTACAGCGCTGTCCAATCTAAATACAGCAATCCCTTGGTAACCGTGGGACTACATTCATGAGAAATGCAGCTGTTGGCAAGAGCAAGGCATTATGGAAAATTATGGATTAGGGTAATTGTGACTTGTGTGAACACTCATCAGAGGTCAACCAAGTTATTGTCTGTTCATTAGATACTAAAAATACTGTACATAATAAGGTATCTAAAAATATTGTGACGTGGATGGCGTAACAGGAAGTAGGGGTCACGTGACCTCTGAGGTCTCATGAGTTATGTCGCATCCCCTCACTCCTTCCATCATTATGCAACACTTGGTAAACACCCGCTACCCACGGTGACATAACAGAAGAGCAACTGTGTCAGGCAACCATTGCCGCAGTGATGTAACAGCATCAGAGCGCTGTCACTGCTATGTTAACAGGCCAGTCAACACTCTGCCCCCTTCCCCTGCGGTTACGTAACAGCACTTCCAACTGTAATGTAACAGGGGACACCGCTGTAACACGAGGCAGCAGGGAACAGCATATAAAGCTGGCTGAGCAGTACGAGTATGTGACCAGTGTGTGTGATTAGGAGTGACACAGTGTGGATCGTGAAGTTGCCGAGTCAATTTCAGTCTAGCAGTTGTCAAGTCAGGTCGTATCAAGTGTATGGCAGTGACTACAGCAGAAGAAGTAATTGTGATACAGCAGATGGCAGTACTTGTAAAATTGTAAACTGTAATTGTGAGAGCGAAAGTGCAGTAAATTTGCTAGATCCAGGAGGGTGTGAAGTTATTTGTTGCATGACATGTACCCAACACGTGACAATATGTTAGACTGAAAACATAAAGAAGTGTTACCAAAAAAAATTCACTGTAGTGGTGATATGGAAGCTAAACACTGCCTTCACATGTTGTTACAGCCATGCCTCTAGCAAATATGCATCTATTGCATCAGAAACCATCATTTTTTTTTGTAGGCAAGTTAGAAACAGCACATTTATAAAATCTAATATCAAAACTGGGTACTGAATTCTGCAGTTGTGAAACCGTTGTTGGCCAAGGATTGCTGTATGTGACTGTGCATGGTATTTCTCATGATATAAAAGCATTAAACCCAGGAGGGTCTTCTGATAGTATGTGAATTTGAAATGATTGTTTGCTTATTACATGCTAAAGTGGGAACACATCTTCTAACTGCATTTATCTAAATACAGTACTGTTGATCCTCAGAGCTGAGTTAGCATGTACTTGGCTTCAAAGTTACTCTGTGGTAAATAAATATGCACTGATTGTTTCATTTTAGTGGTAGCAATCTATGACTACTATGCAGATAAAGAAGATGAACTGAGTTTTCAAGAAAGCTCCGTTATATATGTCCTAAAGAAGAATGATGATGGGTGGTGGGAAGGTGTCATGGATGGCATCACAGGACTGTTCCCAGGGAACTATGTGGAGCCATGTGTCTGAGGATGTGTGCTTCTTGACATATGTTACATGTTCTTGCAGCTTCATATTGCAAATGCAAGGTATGTGGAAGTGTCACCTATTGAGTCCAAGAGAAGAAAATTGAAATTGTGCAAAAATTCTCCATGACAGTAACTGTAGGTGGTGGACGTTTTTCTTGATGCTTTCAGGTGTCGCTTGTTCACGTTTAAATCATTAGTTGGCAAGTGAAGTGATATTTCCTGCTAACTTTACTTTTTCATATCAGTTTTGTGTATGCTGAGTTACAGTATTCCGTGATAAGAAGTCTGCAGGATTTGTATTAATTCATATTAATTATTTCCATAATAGGAAATTTGTATAATAAGGTAGGAAGAATGAGACAGCCATATGCTTATTGCATACACGTGCCAAGTACCACAATATTTCACTCTTATTTGTGAATTACAGATCGTGCAGACCTTGTTTGATGAGTGATTTGAAGAGAAACAAGATACAGATTGTGAAAGAAAATGATTTATTATTTATGAGACTCAAGAATAGTATTTCCTGGTTCTGCTCAAGCATAGTGATGGCAAGATTAGTTGGCTGCAAGCAAATTTTCCCAAATCCAGATAAAAGTTGATTTGAACCATACCCAATATGCCATTGAAAATTATAGCTGATTTAAGGGAATTTCTCAGTGGAGGGGGCTAAAATAAGTACCATACGTTCCTGAATACTCTGCAATATTGAATAAGCCACATGTCTTTTTTTAAATAATAAATAAAATTGCTTATGTAAATTTATGTAAGTACTGAAAGTATACATGTTGAGTGTTAGTATATATATTACTTAGTGCCTGGAAATTTGAATGTTGTTCTTTATTTATTTGCAGGATTTGATGTCTGACTGGCAGAAAAAGACAGTTTTCTCAAGGGTACACAAATTGTTTCTTGCAAAGACCCTCTCCTTCATCCAATGCCTGGGAGTATGCAGAAGTTTGAGGAAATACAATAGTTTCTGTGTGTGGCGGAGGAACCAGTAACTTAATTAGGTTTTGAAGAGTATGAACAGAAACTGCAGTATTTCATTTTTTCACGAGGCCTTGATTTTGTCCTCTCTTTGTTTTAAAAATTGCATGTTTTTAATACATGCCAGCTTTTTATTGGGGCTTCCCACAAAAGACATATTATCCCAAGCATGAGTATCCTGAAACATTGGCAGGATACATTATGTGCATTGATTGATATGTAAGTGTCTGTGTTGCAGTTTGCTGGACTGTTAAAACATCTGGTTCAGTTCTGGTAATTATTTATATTGTAGCAGTTACTTGCTCTGCAACTTGGTTGACATTTTACTGGCACAGCAAACCTTGCCACCCAAGAACTAACTAACTCCGTGGGGCTGAGCCCTTCTTGAGAAGCCATGAGTTCTGCAGCTACTGAAGAATTTCCCAGCATTTTATGGAACCCAGTAGTTCATTGCCATGTTCACAAGAGCCCTTCACTGGCCTCTATCCTGAGCCAGATGAGTCCAGTCCATACCACCCAATCCTATCTCTGTAAGATTTATCTTAATATTATCTTCCCACCTATGTCTAGGTCTTCCTAGTGTTGTCTTTCCTTCTGGTTTTCTCAACAAAATACTATATACATTCCTCTTATTCCCCATGCATTCTACATGCCCTGCCCATTTCATCCTCTACTTGAGCATTGTAATTATACTTGGCGAAGAGTACAAGTTATGAAGCATTTTATTATGCAGTTTTCTCCAACCTCCTGTCACTTCATCTTTGGTCCAGATATTCACAGCACCCTGTTCTCACCCAAGAACATATTTTAAATTTCTCATGAGGTTGAGGGCAGTGTTTTAACAGAGATAGCAGTTGTTTGTCTGGGAATGAAAGATTCTAAATCACCCAGTTCTACTAGTCTGGTAGCCATATTTTAATTCAATGTTAATATATTATTGTGAAATGCAGTGCTTGGCCAGCAGGTCCTCATACATTTGCTATCGAAATAGTATGATGCATAGGTAATTTGTATTTATTTGATACATTTTCTTTTGTATTGGTGTAGTTGTTCAAGTGATATCTTCCTAACTACATAAATTTACTGGTCAGCAGTGTGTTGTATAACTTTTGATTTGTTATAGGCATGACACATGGTTTTATTGAGTAGCTTAGCTCAGAAGGTATTTCATCTGACTTCTGTGTGGAAGGTTCCTGTTAGAATCTCTGACTGGGTAATGACAGTCCATACTGAGTCTTTATTGGTTTTCCTCGTTCACTCTATGCAACTTTTGTGCAATAGCATCTTGAAATAAATCTTTACCTTTTCCTCTCTATTCTCTCTCTTTGACAGTAAATAGTTATTCACTTATATCTTTTGATATTGTCACATGTTTCAGTGACTAGAGACTAGGATTGGTAATTGGATTTATTAACTGCCTACAGGCCGTAACTACAAATAATTATTATACTCTTGCTGATTTTCACAATTTACAGTCACTCCACACTAAATCTTTTCAGTCTGTTTCCACTGGTGTTCACTGTCCATTAACTGGCAATGGATTTATAACACAGAAAGTGTAGAAGTCCCACTCAATTACACACTCTCAATATCAATGTACTACAGCACATGTAACATCTTCTAATTCCTCCTCTGGCTACACTGCTGTTCCCTTGGAACTTTGGAATTCAAGTCAAATCAGTTCCCATTCCCATATTCTCTCGGCAAGGACCACACACAGAAAAAACAACCCCTCTATTGTTGCATGGCGCAGACCACACAGAAAACACGTGTCACATGTCACACTGCGAGTTGTTCTGTCCATTAGCAGTACTGGGTATGATGTGGACAACATAGAAAAAACAGCCACATCTATTGTTGCATGTTTGAATGTGTTTACAGAGCTGTTGCCTGGCAACACGTTAATCAAAACCATTACAATATTAATAATCTGTATATTATATGTCATTAATTAATATATGAAACAATGAACCTCACAAATTATTTTTAAAAAATCTTACCTAGTTACATATTTATCAAATCAAAGAGTGTTCTAGGCAAGAGATCATAGATCTTAGTAAGAAAGGTGCCTAGAGTATGTGGTATGCATTTTGAGATAGTGAACTCTTAGTGATATACTCTGAAGATGTTATTTTAGAATTAATGGTGCACACTTGCAGAATGATCCAGTACTATATTTGAGAAAATTGTTGCACGCAATTCTGGTTCATCACTTTAATGGCATGTTGAAATAACTAATCAGGGCATCAGATTGATCATCATATAGATCAGTCCATAAGCCTGGTCTTCTGTCAGAATTTTGTTTTCTTGGAATAGCCAATACCACATCTTTTTCAATTCACCATTCACAATTGCACTTTCATTTAATTTACCCGGCAGAGGTGTGTGTTCCATATTCCTGGGGAACTGTTGTGGCTCAGTAGAAACCAGTTATGCTCTTGACAGAACTACTGTTAGGTTATTCAAAGTCAAAGTCACATTGTGACTGACGGTCAGTCAGTAAGTCTTGGTGTCGAGTGCCATCTGGAGCTCATGACCAGATATTTATTACTGTTTGACAGTTACGGTTTTGTTTCTGTGGGGCACCATCTCTGACAAGAGGATGGGTCTGTCTTTTGTATATGCTGCTGGCCCTTACCAGCCCTGCCTTGTCATCCCTTGTAAGACGGAATTGGTGCGACAGAAGGCATTAGACTAACGTGCCTATATCTGTTGTACACGAAACTGATGAAAAAACAAATCAGAATAAGCTTTGTGTTGATATTTCTTCGCTCCCTACTGAGGTCATTTATGGTATGAGTGGAGTTTGAGAACCACTGATTAAGGCGTACCAAACCGTGAAACCAAAGATTTGTAGCATACTGTCCAGTATAACAGAAAAATGTAATCAAGAGCATTTATGTACAGTCACTGAATGGCAGTAATGTGCAATATATTGTTATGGTACTAATTAATTTTCTGCATTTTAAACCACCAATGCCCCTGCCTCCAAATTATTTTTTTTTTTTTCCACATATCGATGTGTAATTATTTTTTGTCTCTTGTGCTTCTGGTCACCATCTACATGGGAATTTTACAGACCATGAACTTTTTGAAACAATGCTTGAAAGAAAAATACAGTGTAGACCCTTGAAATAGGTACACTGTAAATGAAATCAAACTGTATGAGTTACATAATTTAAGACTGTACTTTTTGTAGAAAATATTGGTTTCACAAATAAAGGAGTTTGGTATTTGATTTTTTTTACTTATTTCTGGAAATCTGACTGCATTGCACATATACATATGTGTTGTTCACGTCATCCGCATAGGCCAACAGCTGATGTGTCCCGTTTAATTTCAGTCCCACCTGGTTTCCCTAATGGCATATTCTAAAGCAAAGTTGAAAAGGAGTGGTGATAAAGAATCTCCTTGTTTTAGACCATTCTGGACAGGAAATTTATCAGACAAATGTTTACCTACACGGAATTTGCTATACATTTCGTTTAAACACATTTTAATCAATGTAACTAGTTTCATGGGTATCCCAAATTCTATCAGAATATTGTACAATACTTCCCTCCTAACTTGATCATAGGCTTTCTTGAAGTCTATGAATAGCTGATGTACTGTCTCATCATACTCCCATTTTTTCTCCAATATCTGACGAATGCAAAAGATCTGTAGTTGATCTGTTACATCGAAACCCACACTGATGATCCCCAATAATTTCATCTATATATGGACTTCACTTTGAGAGGAGAATATTGGATAAAATTTTGTATGAAGTTGATAGCAGTGATATCCCTCTAATTATTACAGCCAGTTTTATCACTCTTCTTGTGAACTGGTACAATAATAGATTCCTTCCACTGATCCGGCAATTTTTCCTTATGCCAAAGAGAAGTAATTAGATTGTGGATCTATGCTTAGAGCCACTAATTTGAATTTAAGTATTTTTTGGTCATTATTGTGAAAACAGTATGTAAAGTAATATGCGAGATGAGGCCTATGTGATAGTTTGAACCTAATTTGCATTTGGGTGATAGCGTTGTTGAAAGAAAAGAAATTGACATGTAACCTGGAGTGGTATGAATAGTGCCAGACCAAGGTGTAATTATTAGGATAATACTAAAGTGGTTATTAGGTAAACGAAATGTATTGATATGAACCACATTTTGTTGGTTCAGGACAAGGGCCAGGTATAACAGTCATTGGGTTCCATGGCATAATTTTTTACATGAACTATAAGCAATGGAAATTCATACCTACTTTAATGTCGTGCTATAAGAACCATTTACACTTTTAATTTTTGACTGGACGTGAACATTTTACCAACGAAATGAAAGATCAAATGGAACCAAAGTTGCGGTGTTCAAATCGACATCAGCACTTTTGATTAAGTTTTAGAGATGATTTTCGAGGATTCATCAGAGACCACAGCAATATGATTATTTTGGAATCTTCCTCTGTTCGCATCTTTACATAGTTGATGAGTATTAATCTCAATTTTATATTGTCTTCAGCATTTCTGTTAAGAATAAAGTGCAGAACAATATTTGAGTACGAAAAAGTTTGTGTCCGACGGCGTAATCAATTTGTAACTGCATCATACAGTTGAATGTACTCTTTGTTAGATGGCGCTAACAGTACGTTTGTTGATGCCCGACATGTATGCAGAATTATTAAAGGTTTCACTATAGTCTTACCAAAGCTAACAGGTGTCGCTCTAACGTGGTTGCTTCTTACTGCCATCTGCTGAAGGTATTCATCGATCCCACCTACTGTTAAAACCTACGAGTCTAGTAGCCAAAGACCGCCAAAGACTATTAGTTCATTTCCAGTTTGGAATTCAGTAGTCTGATGGAAGAAGAGGAAGAAAGGCGTGTGTGGATGTGTTCTGCGTGTGAAAGCTGACAGTGTTTTCAATCCATGGTCGGTGGTGTACGAAATTATTCATGTGATGGTTACTGCTGTGACTGGGTGGATACAAAATTGTTGCAGTGCTATGACGTAAGATAGTGCGAGTGGTTCGTCTAACAATGCTGGTGCCTGGCATGACTTTGGTGGCCGTGATCATCGTGGTTCACTTGGTTTTGACAGCGTTCGGCTCGCCGCTGATGCCTCCTGTGGGACAAGGTAAATGCATCAATCAGGACAACAATGCTGAATTTATTCGACAATTTCGTCATATACTGGAAAGGTTACGAAAATCGAAAGTAATTATTTTTCGTTTTTAATATAGATCAATGAATATTCATAACAAACTGTATAAGTAATTTCTGAGATATTTATAGTGCATAGAGGCAGAGGAAATGATAACTACAGGAACTGTGCGTAATGGTGTTAGTGGCCTATTGCAACTACTTACGGGGTATGGGCTTTCTCTTCGCATCGTGGTAAGCATGTTATATCCATAATTCGGCAATTGCGTAAACAAATGCTTGTCGTTTCCTGTCACCTTTGCAGTGCATTAGTGCATTTGATAGACACTTTGCAAAATATAATTAGTTGCGTAAAAATATGAGAAATAGTTTAAAGCAAGAGTACTGTCTTGTGGGACATAACGCATTGTAATCCTTTGAACGTCAACGGCGTTATATCCCAGAAGGTAAGTACTCTTCATAACCACCGCTGTGATAACCTCAAATTCTACGCATTTCAAAGCAGCACGTTACCAAGAAAATGGATCATCTACCAGAAAACCGAGGATTACGTTCTTCCGGGTTCTAACGCCATGTGATTCAGAAGGAGGAACAAGACCCGTTCATCTTCAGGGTCGAAAGAGTGAGCAGAACTCAGTTTGCCGCTATTTTGTTTGGTTTATTCGATCCTGAATATGGAAGCGATATGTTCCTGCAAAACAAGCTTTTTCCGAACTACATGCCGGTGCTACCTAGAAGAATATACTTTTCGTAGTCATCGCTATGAGAACTCCAAATCCTACCGCAGAATTGTTCAGATTTATTCTCTAGCTGGGCCGCGCCATAGCTCAAGCGGTTAGTCGCTGGCATCCAACCACGGCGGCCCCGGTTCGATTCCGGGTCTCGTCAAGTGGGATGTGGTGGACAAAGTGGCGCTGGGGCGGGTTTTCTCCGAGTACTTCGGTTTCCCCTGCCAATCTTCATTCCACCAAATTCTCCATCATAACCCCCCGGGGCAGGCTACAATAAGCCAATCAGTGGCCGCCGTGCCGAGTGGACCCAGTTGGACTCCACCCCCCCACTAAGCGAGTTAAAAAAAAGCAAACTACTCTCTAGCTGTCGTTTTCTCTGTCATGGTGGTTTGAGGATGTTAAGTGAATTTGTTTTTGAACACATAGTAGAGTGATATGACTGTAGTCTTTAACAACCTATACCAACATACTATTGTAAATTTCGAGGAATGTAATGTATTTATTATTCAGTTTTGGGGCACCCCCGTTTTGTGCACCAAGGTTTGATTGTCACTTGATTAGAATTTGTAATGGAGTGGAGTCGTTTTTTTTTTAGTTTACTTACTTTATGGCTTAATAAATCGTGGAGATTTATGCTGTCGATTGGAAGAGGTGGTAGCACGATTATGGTAAAATAGAAAAAAAAAAGAGTCCGTGATTAACCATTTTAAAGAAGCATGCAGGTTTTCACCCAGAGAAACTGCAGATATCCCCATCTATTATGGGATCCACGCTTGGATTCAAATCGATTACGTGCAGAATACAAAGTGAGAGTAATCTAACAGTGTGACGTGTAAAATCACGTTCAGAACGTGTAACCCTTCCGCCATATTTCATAATATGTAGTTTAACTTCTATACAAATTCTTCGTCGCAAGGTTTTGTCACTGTTTCCCTAAATCCAGTTAATCACTCCCCCATCTCTAACCGTTGTGCTTCAGCATGTTGGAGGAGGACGCGGAACGCAACACTGTTATCTATATGTAAACAGCATATTACTTTTTTTTCCTAAGACATCTTCGCAGAGCGCAAGAGCCATAAGTGAAAATGCCCTTCAAATTCTAACTAGTAGAGTGGGGGTCTGTAAGCATATGCCCGAAAGTACATTGATGCCCTTGTAAGTCTTTTGGGATCCCACTACAATTTTAAATAGTTATAATAATTTCTTACTTGTTCGTTGACAATCGGAAATCACGTGATTTATGAGCTATGGACCAAGTTCCTGGCTGGTGCCGAGAAATCCAGAATTTATATGTATTTACTTTACGGTTTGTTGACGGACACTATAACAATCTCAGACTCAGTAGAGTAGAATGGTTGGATGATTACTGTAGCTCATAATGAACTGGAAAGGGCGTGTAAGGAAGCAGTCTTAGCCTAATTTGTGCTACTTTTTTTCCCCTTGGCACTACAGCCCCAGTGGGCCTAGGCCTACCCCCATGAACTCCGTTCACTTCGGTTTTTCTAAATCTTACACGTTCGGTAGGACTCCTTGGGCGAGTGATCAGCTCGTCGCAAGGCCTCCACCTGTACACAAACACAGAAAAACGCACACAAACATCCATGCCCTGAGTGGGATTCGAACCCACGATCCCGGCTTCTGATCGAGCGAAGACAGTGCATGCCTTAGACCGCTCGGCTACCGTGACCGGCAATTTGTGCTACTGTCTCAACATTTGTCTGGAGAGACTGAGGAGAACCACGAAACCCCACAGGTAGAACAGCCAGTGTCCATGGCGAATTGCTTACCGGTTGTCTCCCGAATGCAAGTCAGAGGCACTACTGGGCACTACCGACTGGGCTAGCTTTCTCAGAGAGAAGTCGTAAATGCTTAGATTGTGTTAAGATGCCGCATTCGCCAAGGGATTTGTGTGTTAATTATAGTAATTTTTCCTAAGGAAATTTATTACAATGTTTTAGAAAATACCTTGGTATGAAGACACACGATGAAGAGCCATTCGTAATGTACTTATTTCAATTCGCATTTTTTTCAGTAGAGGCCACTGTAAATTATATTCTACTCCAAATTACCCGCTATCCGAAAAAGGATACCTCCTCCCCCTGCTCTAATAAATACTAGTACTTCCATTACATTATAGTTGTAAAACATAACCATAAAATATTAATGCAATTAATATGCGCTTGCTTTCAATTACGCTACAGATATCTCAGCGTGAGATCTGATATTCTCACAGCGTAGTTAGGAAGAACAGGGCTGCATTATTCTACTATGTGACGCTGCGTATATCCTTGGCCCGTTAATGTGGGTATAGTATGTTCCTTCGTAGGCCGCGCCATAGCTCAAGCGGTTAGTCGCTGGCTTCCCACCGCGGCGGCCCGGGTTCGATCCCGGGTCTGGTCAAGTGGGATTTGTGGTGGACAAAGTGGCGGTGGGGTAGGTTGTTTCCGAGTACTTCGGTTTCCTCTGCCAATCTTCATTCCACCAATTGCTCGACAATCACCCTCACCTATCATCTGGGGCTGGTACAATAGGCCAGAAGTGGCCGCAGTACAAGGGACTTAGTCCCACCCCACTAGCAATAAAAAATGCCCCTTCGAAACGCGGGCATTCTTACGTTGCATAACGTCACGCCCAGCAGATATTATTTTAGGATATTTTAGACTCATACTGTACGACATATTAAGTGTCAGGTTACTGCACGTCAGCTGTCGACGATGAATCTAATAAGGAAGATATGTGTTTATATACATATATTTTTGGAACCGTCGGTGTAGCGACTGGCTACGGCCGATCGGTCGGGTTTCGAGTCCAGGTAGGGGCAAGACTTCTCTTCACGTTGCCCAAATTTGTTCCTGAGCCCAACCAGCCTCCTGTCCACAGAATCCCCGTGGGGTAAAGCGGCCGAGGCGCTATATATCCACTCCACATACCTCTTCATGGCTTAGTTATGGTTAGGCACAGCGACAATTTTACCTTTACGTAAGTTTTCGTGTGCTTGAATATGACCATCCACATTGCTGTGTTATTTTATATTTCTAGGGACGAAGAACTGAACAGAGTTAAGAGTTTTCAAAAGATTTATCACGTTTCCAAATTTGAGAACATGAATGGCTCAGAATCGGTCGTATGTTACGATTTCGTACAAGCGCCATATTTATATTACTTAAAATTACGTGCGTATACAATGGCTTCAGGAACAGCAAACTGAGTTCCATGCAAATCGAAATTATGGGACAGAATGATACATAAAATGCTTATGGAATTCTTTATCAGAAGCCTCCCTTTCAGCATGTTGTGCGAATTAAGACTCAGATTAATTGATGGCTTAGTTCTCTGGTTTTAAAAACCTCCAGACTCCGTTGTCTTGAAAGAAATTCGTCTCCTAGAATGTCGCAGCTCTGAACATCGTTTGGAAATTCAATTAGGGACAGCAACAAAATTGATTTAAATTTCGCGTAACGCTGTGAATCTAAGCGTAGTAAGGGGATACGGAATATATACATTAGCGTCCCGTGCTTCCAATTCTAACTTCAGAAACTGAAATACGTTTAAGGGTAATTTTTGTTTTCATTGTTGCTTACGGCCAGTGCTGGATGACTTTTATGTCACTTAAATAGACACGGCCTTCCAGTGTATTCTACACCAGCCTACTTAAACCGTTGAAGACGCTCCTCTGGGAAGCATGGTGTCGAGTTTCTTAGAACTAATTACGATTGCAGAATTTGAAAACATAAAGATTATACAAGCATTTGTGGGCGCATTCGGCAGAAATATAAACGGTATGCTGAGCTCAAATGCTTGTGAGCTCAAAAACATATGCACTCCCCTCTGTAAAACTATTTTTATTTAAAAAAATATATATGGATATAAACCTAATTGTTAGGGTAAACGACAGTAGAAATCCATAACCACATCAGATAAATCTAGTATTCTCCAGTAAAGACACTAATGTTACGATTGCTTACTGTGCGTATGGATTTGCGCGACTAGAGCTACAGTGCTGCAGACAACGTGGACATACCGATGAGTTCTAGACCTATATTTGATAATGAAAACGTAGGAACGTAGGGCGAATTTATCCGTATAAATAATTTATTAAGCACTGCACCCAGAAAACATATTGGAGAGCGGAAGTATTGCTCCAACAGATGGGGGTGAGTGGTTAGCTTCACACATCTGCCGCTTTGTCCCAGGGGAGACAGCCCCCCGTAGCCATTGTATAGGAGACTGGATGGGTCCCACA